AAAAGCAAAATATTGTGCAACAACACAGTCGTCATCATCATTCCTCATAGCCCCCAGTGGCGCATAGGGCAGCGCAACAACACAGTGCGTGAAGCAAAGGAAACATGCCTAAGGGAAACCCTTTAGTCAGGATTTGAAAACAGACTGGTATCCAAAATTTTACAAAGCATGTAGGTATTTTCCTTAGAGGTCTGGGAGCACCCTCTCCCAGGGAATTGTAAATTTAAGTTGAGATTGCATTCTTTTGTACTGGACATTTGATCGGCTGGATTTGAAAATGTTGGAATCTATTGCTTCAGTTCAGTCTGCCATCTGATTGGTTTTGATTGTCTGGGTGGCCCTGTAAAATCTATTAGACTTAGTTAACTGTCAGAAGTAAGAGTTATCACTCACAGTACATTGTAGGATGCTACTGTGTGGCACTAAATTTTTGCGGGAGTGTATTTTTGCAACTTGTTTTTCTTGCTGGGTACTAATTTTTGCAATTTGAGCTGCATGCAATTAGCCATGTTCTAAACGAGCAGTGGACTGGGCACGAGTATTAAAAATCGATTGAATTGAAAAATGGGACTCACCATCTGAAAGAGCAGTCAAACATTAGTAAGTTTACCAAATCTGAGAGTTATTGGTTTAAACGTAAAGGCATGGTACACTTTTAAAAATCGCTAAAATAAGAGAGCTAAATTATATGAATTTTTCAGTTCAATCGATTTTAAATATTCATACCCAGTCCCCTGCTCGTTTAGAACATGGCTAATTGACAAGTGAAACCTGTTAATGTTATATAGGAGTATCCCAGCACCCTCTAGGGAACCATGCAGGACATATCATTAGAGTATAAGAAATTGAACATAAATCAAAACTCACCACACTCGAAAAATAACGATCCAATGTTTCAACAAGGGTGTGGATAAACTCCAGAATTGATAGCTCATTCTGCAGAAAGACACAATATTGTATCAACCTAAGCTGGGCTTTATGAGAACTAGCCTGTACATGGCCATGAGCAACCTGGACTGTCTGAGAATCAGGCTTTAGGATGACTAAGGGCCTGCTTACATGGAGGGAGGGTGCCCCGGCTAACCAGGCTACCCGGCTAACTGAGCAATCCTGGGAGGGCTAACTTCTCATACGTTTCTTTAGAAAACACATTGAAGCATTTACATGCTAGACAGGGTAGCCCACCTACCTGGGGCACCCTGTCTACTTGCCTGGGGCACCAAGCTAGGCGGGATAGCTTTTTACCATGTAAACAGTTCGTGCTGGGCTATCCCGGCTAGCCGAGGTGAGATAAACCACAAAAACATGGCGGCACGAGGTGAATTTTTTCATAGTTACCATTTGCCAGACTGAGTGTTATCTGCCGAACAGAATGACAGTCAATCTGAAGAGATCAATGTAATAGATGAGTCTCAGGCAGAGAACAGGTCCATGCCTGTGCAGGAAGCTGAAATAAGATGTCAAATAGTTTCTTTGGCCAGCTATTTTGTTTGTTGTGCTTAGCGGCCACTCAAAAGATAGCCCACGCAGCCCACTCACCGTCCCAGTTAGGTGAGTTGCATGTACATGTAAAGGCAGGCTATGTGTCAACCCTTCTAGCCGCGTAGCCCGGTTAGCCAGGGCACCCTCCCTCCATGTAAACAGGCGCTAAGCTACTGCTATAAACTTGAGACAAACTTGAAAACTTGAAAAAAGTAACAGACAGTTAAAGTAAAGTATCAGTTGAGTACCAGTGAAGTATCCGATATCAAGTAGTCAGGTCAATTAGTATCGGCAGAGCATCAGATTATTCAGTATGGATTCTGTGAGGCATGGGTGAAGTGTTAATGAATTAAGTATCGCTGACCTTGGTCGATAATGCACTCAAACCTGTTTTAAGCAGCCACCTATTTACCAGTTAGTGGCCACTCCTTGTTAAGCAGCCAGTTATTAAAGTCTCGAAATTTTTGAAAGTAAAATACAGTAAATAAAACCCCTACTAATTGGCCAGCTCCATTAAACAGCCGCGGCCAACTTTTGGTTGTCCCGATGAGGGTTTTTCTATTGCCTTTACACCCATTAAACAGCCACTCCAAATTTAAAAACTTTGTTTTGGAAAAGGTAATGTCAGGTAAGAGTCCGATTCAGTAGAAGGTGATGACTGATAAAAACATTCAAACACACGTTTATCATGATTGTCTTGAAGTGACTCCATGTTCACCAAGAAATTAACCC